ACATTGCTGCAGCTCCTCTCTTCAGCCTCTGTCTGAAACATTTGGTTTTAGCTCCCAGTCTGTTAACGGTCAACTGCTTCCATCTTGTGTAGGAAATGTCAGCCTCCACTCTCGCTTTACCGGACTTTGTGATGATGAGGAATATCAGACGGACTACAGACGAGGTGTTAAAGCAGCTTTAGTGTTTAATGTGCAGGAGAGAACTGTCTTTACTGTATTTTTTTTTTTACTTTGCAGATTTTCCATGTATAACACGCTAGATGAAAGATAAACTGAAAAAGCATCACGTCTCCTTTAAAATACGTCACAATTTGTACCTTTCACATCCTCCTGGAGTAAAATCAACATTGAGTCCTCCAGATTTTTGGATTTAAATGGCTCAGTGTCTTCTCATCTTAAAAATACATTGAGCACGGAGGCTCCTCTCTCTGGGGGTGTGTAAACATTAAAAAATAATGCCTGTCATGTTTCTTAAATCCACCAAATGGCACTCACAGGCGACAAATCCCAGCTCCACCGGCTTCAAGCATTGTGAGGATAATTAACACAAAACTGTCTTTTTAGGAGTTTGCCACGAGGGCAGCCAGGGTGTCATTAAACTGTTTAGCAACAAATTAATCCTGTCTCACACGTTGCGCCTTTATCCTACACGTCTACACACTTACTCAGCTCTTGAGACATAAACTCTGTGTGACCCACGTGCTGTTTTTGTGATCTTCTTTTCCACAATAATTGCCGACGATCTCAGCAGATGGTCTTTCTTCCAAAAGTTGTGCTGATGCATTCAGATTTCTGATGATGTCTCCAAAATAATCAATTAGGGCTGTAATCTTGCTGTTGTGCTGGCTGTGTTTTGTTTTTAGGCAGCGGCACAGCATGATGGAAGCCACCCATGTTCCCGCTCATGAATGTTAATTATTAAATCATTTCTCACTCGCTGGCTCAATGTCAGCCCATGTGACAGGTCGGCTCCTTAAATCATGTTTGTCGCCGTAGCACTCCTCTGCCGCCGCTCATGATAACAGCATCATAACACTGAAGATGACAAACAGCGTCATTTTTCTGGGAACTAATGTTTGGTCTTACATCTGCTGGATCTACAGTAACCTGGAGAAATTCCACCATGCTGCCGTTTGCTCTCTCTCATGTGTCAATAAAAGAAACTGAACATTTTGTGCCCTCTGTCAGAGACGTGAGAACCTTCCACACCGTCTCTGTGGCCACTCCGCTGACATTAACACTGACATTCTCAGACGCCGTAACCAAGTTCTGTCTTTCAACACTTCTACTCACAAAATGTAAAATGTCCTCAAATGACAGTATTTATCAGAGATCTTTTCAGTTTTTTGTTCTGTTTGTCCTTGGAGAGGATTTGCTAAGCCTGAGCACCTCTCGAACCCTCGATCTGTTCAGAAATAAAAATTCCATGAGTTATGAGATTTAAAAGGATATCGCCAAAGCCTAAAGCTGAGACAGTGATGATGTAAGTCAGCTGTATTGATATAAAAGAACAATGAACAAATCCTGTGTTACCAACTAGAACTGCATAGCTCCGCCAAGGCCCAACAGTCCCAAACACACTGCACCAAATTTCACACACTTAAAAAATATCAGTGCCTGATTTCCTTCATCAAGATCAATGAATTATTCTCTGAATTAGCTGTGAAAGCGTCCTATAAGAATTCAGTTATACAATCAGGATTGATATCATCTCTGTGAATCTCTTTGTTAAGATAATTTTGTCTGCTAATTATTTTTTTCATTTTCTAAGTATCTAATCAGTCTTCTGATAAAAGAATCAGAGCCTACGCCTTCAGGGATGTAACAAGACGAAGGATGCCCATATATGATTCTGAATCAGTTTGAACAAACGACTAAAATAATCAATGTCATCACAAAACCAAAAGTAACACGGAAAAAAACTTGATTATGGGAGAATCTTAAACATCAAAACTGTGCAGCAACAAATTGTGGAGCCTGTGTCCTCACCAGTTAAAGTGTCCTTGAAGTAGTTGTATGATATTTTACTGCTCAAAACGTATTTGGTCTCAGGTGATTTCCACATCTCGTTAAAAAAAAACCCTCCAAATCAAACAACTGAAATGTCATTCGAAATTGCCCTCAGGAAAGAGACGTAAGTGTTTTTGATCAGATCGGCAGGAAGTCATCAGATCTCATCACCTTCTGAAACGCTCACAGATTGGTGCAGTTTTACAAGAGAAAAGAAAAAAAACAGTTCTCTGATCTGAGGCGGATGTTGTTCGTTAAGGTTTGAGCACAGAGATACACAGAGTGGTGTTCGAGAGGGAACCTGTGTTGGAAAACTTTAGGGAGTAAAGGTTGGTCATGGATTGGAGCATAGCCTGTAAATAAAGATAGACAGCCCAAGTCCATGTCCTCCTTTGGGACAAAAATGAAGGTAAAATTGGGGTGACACAGGTGCTGCAATCCTGGGCTTCTGACGTCATGTGGAGCCGGAGACTGTGCAGCCGTGATCGTGGTGTCGAGCTGAGGTATCGAGGTCACATTGATACAAGCAACGAACGTATCAATATAAAACACTTGGCCGTACATCAGTGTGATAAGAACTATGCTAACATGGAGGAAGCAGGGTTTATGTCGATGGCGATCCAGGGGATCTGGCTTCACTTTCAGGGAGCTGCCATGTCGTCCATCTATATATACAGTCTATGGTTCATGGAGACTTGTGTTAACGTTCAGTGACCTTCTCCTCTTAGTATTGAAGTCTGACATTTGATCAACTCAACCAAACCTCCCGACCTCCTCCCTCTGCAGAGTTTGTGCCACATGTCATAGGAAGAATGAATACGTTGCACAGGTTGTTTTAGAAGGTACCAATTTTGGATTTTAAGGATTTGTTATTGCTGTTTGTCCTGAAACCACAAATTCATATCACTAAGAGTCACAGTGGGAGTTCTACATTTTATTTTTTTTTCTTTGTGTTTGGAGGCTTAATGAAAACCCAGGCAAAGTGGGCAGTGATTACTGTTGTGTTTACAAGTCGGCATTAATCACACACTAACTTTTCATCACTCCCTACTTTCAGTGTACCAATTAGAAATCTGTAACTGCTATTAAAATGCATCGTGAAGCGGAGCTGATTTTCCTGCAGCATACACCACAACCCCTGTAGGCTGGAAGCTCTATTTTCTTTTCTCTCCACAATGCTACTCTAGACATAAACTGAGGAAATTAACTCAGAGGAAGAGGCAATCTCCCAGACAGTTTACTGACAATATATGTACCGCTGGATTCACAGCCCTCACGACAGAAAACCTGAGACTGGGACTAATGCACCATGGGAAACAAAACACTCTTGCAGCAAGAGATACACCAATTGATATGAGAGTTTTTGTCAAATTGTGGGTACAATATTCAGCTTGGGGCCTCGTATAGATAATGAATTTATGCATGATTACCATGATTACCCTGTACATTCGCTTGTTTGTTAGACAGCAGGATTACGCTAAAACTACTTCCATATATCCAGGGTAGTTAGTTAGTTTCTAAGTGAGATTACACACGACTTCAACTTTCACGTTTTCACAATTACCATTTCTTGTAAAATTCCACCAGCAGCCATACAGGACCAGGAGCAGATTTTAATTGCCCTTTAGAGCACTGTTCCATCAAATGATTACATTTTAGTCCACACAGCCAAACTGCTGTCTGCATGCATATGTGATTCACACCAATTGCATGGGATTGAAATGGGCAATTGATTGTTTTGCTCCATCCGCTGCTAAAATTCCCACTCTGGAGTTCAAACAGCTTTCTGGTTCTGGGTTCAGGACTAAAAGTTAATTTGATGGAAATTGGTTGTGTACTTTTTGTGTAATCCTGCTTTTTGTGTAATTTTATTTATTATATCATTTATTGCAGACCCTATTCACAAAGACCAGACATGTCTGTCTCTAAATTTGGCTCTAAATAGTTCAAATTGCAAATATCAACCAGAACGCCTTGGACGAGCAATAGCCACTAAACTCATTACAAACATGTGTGGACAAGAATATACAAAGTCTCATAGATGGAGATGTTTCATGAGTGGAAATATAATACCTCAGCAGAAGTCCTATTTATCACATGGCTGTGTTTGAATTGTTTATATTTCCTGTTGTGACTCATTTCCCTTTTTTGGACATTTTTCCTGCAGGACAAATTCTGTCTAGTAAACAGGAGTCCAAGATTCTGACTCACCCTCTACTATATTTGTCACACCTTCAGTGAAGCTGTTGTTCTTCTCTCTTTCCCCTACCACAATTTCCAGTTTCCCTTGGCTATGGCTGCCCCCCCCCCTCCCTGCTGAGTGTAATAGAAATCTGCTGTGAAAAGGGGCTGGATAAAGACTGTGCTCCTGCAGCGGAGGCAACACTGTCTCCTTTCTAGCATCAGAGATGGAATATCCTTGAACTGGTTTTTCCAGGTTTCACAGTTTTATAATGTAATTTACTTGTTCCTTATTTAAAGTCTCTTAATGTTTGGATGTCTTCTGCAGTTAATGTCGGAGAAACGTGACCTTTTCTTTAAATGTGTCATGGAGATTCTTCATTTCGAAGTCAGTTGGATGTTTTTTTTCTGTTCAACACATTTAGAAAACGTTGGAGATGCAGATCACTGACAAGTCAAGTGAGGCTGAGTTTAGGAAAACTGGGGAAACTGGGAAACTATAAAACAACATTTAAACTCACTAGATCCACATTATCATTTGGATGATGATGATATAAACATGCCGGATTTTTTAAATGAAGATCGAATGAATATCAGATAAATATAGTTGTTTTTTTTGACTCAAGCCACCAAGTTTCGTGGTAATCCTCTGTCCAGTTTTAAGAAACACAATCAAATAAAGAATGTAGATATTTTTAAATGAACTGTGCAAATATTAATCGCGCCATGGGTATATAAGTATAGATGATGAAATACTATATAGAACACACAGAAATGTACAATTATACAAATACATCAACGCCCTTTATTATGGTTTCCTCTAATGGAATTTACAATCTGTTGCATCCCCTGCCACATCTTTAATAACCGATAGTGTGTCCATTTGGGAACTTGTTTCAAGCTGAGTGTTGATGAATCCAACTCCATCTGCTTCACAGGTGGGAATGATAAACGCGAGGGAGGATAATGACTTATTGTGCAGGACTGTTGTACTCAGTGTCACCGGGGACAAACCCTGTCGGGGGCAGGGAGGAGTGGAGTCGATGAACCAGCGTGTGTTGGACTGAAGGCGGGGACACAGACAGGTCGTCGGTCCCTCTTGGGGAACACTGTAGTCATTACTAGAAAATGTAATCTCGTTACTCAGTGGCAGACCGATGCGCACAGCCATTGGACGCAGCGAGGGTTGGGTTGGCCAGTCGCTCCTCGTTGCGCACACTGGATATGGATCAGGACGCAGCGCGCCTCGCCGCTGTCTTCCGCGGACAGGCTGCACACCGCGGCGCGTAAACGGTGCCCAAATGAACCACCGTCCTCCCGGCTCCTCCGGCGTGCAATGGCTTAACAGGAGAGACATGAGTGTCCGGACGGAGGACAGCATCACCTTGTGCCAAAGGGCTCTCCAGATCGTTACGGAACTTTGTCTCACGGGGCACGTCGACCGGGAGAAATGTTCGGATATATTCCCCCTGGAGAGCAACATACAAGGTAAAGGATACGCAGGTAAATGGAATAAAGTCATTATTTTCTTTTCCTAATTCCCCTCAACTAAATTCTCATGGAATGAAGATGCTAGAGTTAGAAAAATCTCTCACCTGTTAAAACTTTGGTTTTGTGCAACGTGTCTTTACGCGTTAAAGTGTTTTTCCACCTGTTACGCATCTTGCTGCAGCTGCAGACTGATGGAGCAGCAACAGGTGGCTGTCTGACTGAAAAAATGATTAACCTGTCGTTCTCTAGTCTTCTCTCTTTGCAATATGATTTATCAGTGAATTCCTGCATGTATAGTCGGCATTAACCTTAAATACAGAATGAAAAACTCTAAACATGAGAAAGAAGAGGAAATGTCAGGAGCAGATGGAAGCACCAAATTGTTTTCTTTCTCTTCAGGCATGAACATGTGTTTCTCTGAATGCTGTGGTTCCTCTACTGTGGTTTTAAATGACTTTATATTGTCCTGCTTTATCAAACAGGTGCACATGCTGCCCCCTCTTTCTTACAGCTTGCTTTCTCTCCTTTTTTCTCTTTCTCCCTTGCATGTTTGTCCGTCATATTTTGTCCTTCGCTTGCCTCTCCTGTCCTTTTTTCTTGTCTCCTTCTCTGTCCTCTACTGGTCTCTCCATGGTTACGTGTAGACATCTCTATTAGTCTGCTTGCTGTGGTCGTAGGTTTCTGTGGCCTCGCCCTGTTGGTAGTCTCTCTCTTTGTCTTTTGGAAGCTGTGCTGGCCCATCTGGAGGAGCAAAGCTCTGTCAGCCCACGCTGAAAATGGTCTCCACGTGGGCTTCCCCGAGGCACCTCCACCCAACTCTCCGCCGATCACCGACTGCAAAGCGGCAGAGGTGGAGAAGAAGTACCCGCCCGAAGTGACGGTGAGCGGACGGAGCACGGTCAAGCTCCTGGAGGCGGCGATGAAGATCAGCCAGACGTCACCGGACATCCCTGCTGAGGTGCAGACGGCCCTCAGGGAGAAGCTTAGCCAGCAAGCTAAGATCCAGAGACAGACCACAGAGCCAACCTCCTCCTCCAGGTACATGAACCCACTGCATAACCACTCCTGCCCCTGCACTGAGGCAAGGCAGTGGGTCTATTCATCTGTTAACAATTGCAGAGTAATGACAGCAATTTTAAATCCACTTTGGTTTGTTTTCCTGACCCCTACAATACCAAACTGCTGCCTACTCGAATAAAAAAACTCCTGGAGGTTCGTGGCAGTGTGGCCCCAGCCCTGGAGGTGGTCTGGCACGTGTCACATAGACCATGAGGAACTGGCCGGCGACCTTCAAACGCTGTTGTACACGTCAAATTGTGTCTTTCACTATGTCTGACTGGAAAAAAACCCACCACCTCCAGTATAGGCTCATCAGCTGGGGCAGTGGCACAACTCTCTGTTTCAGTTTGAAACCTGTAATCACACGTGCGTGCAAGTCAAGCTGCCATGGTAACGACGGGAAGCAACCACAGTGATTAAACAATCAGCTCTTGCTTCTCTTTGTTTTCTAGAACAGTGTTTAAAGTAGAACGTCCATAATAAGCAGTGCTGTGGGGTGGGAGCTGTCATGGTGGAAGGTTGGTTTCTGGTGAGACGTGCCACGCAGCTGTGCTCGGTTTCTCAGAACAAGAAGCAATTATTGACACTTCTTTTTTTTTTTTTTTTCGTTCGGCCCATTAATTAAATTATATTGAGTCCAAGGTCGTCATGAATAATACGCCCACCAGGGAAACAGAGAGGCCAGGTTAAAGATTACAGCGCCTACCCTCAGTCCTTCCACCCACTCTTTTGACACTGATTTTCAACGTTGGATTCATCAAACCAAGGCTAAAGCCCAAATCCAAGTATCTGAGTTTAAGCGGAATGCACCTTAAATCTACAACAAAGAGATGGTAGATGTTCTTAACCAATTTCTATCCTGGTTCTCTCTTGTTGACATTTATTGATTGGTTTATATAAATGGCCTTTACAGATAGGGCAGTGAACCCAGCGATGATAAATCATTTTGTGCACAAAAGGAAAGAAAAGGGTGAAAAATGCATTTTCAATATATACACATAGTGTTTTATTTGGCTAAACAGTCCACAGCTCATGAATATTAATTTTACTTCATTGTAAGATGAAGATGAATCTTTATCTTTGCTATTAAATAATGCAGATGGCTGTGGAATAAAACCCTAATTTACTTCATCTTGTCGTCTGCTCTATAGTCAATGTTTTATTTTATGCAGCTCTAAGAGCACCTGTGGGATCAGCCAAAGTCATACAAGTCTACCCCAGGTTAAAACATAAGTTAAGTGAAGCAAGCATTTGCATTTTGAAATATGTCACTAAACCAATTATCCAAATTGTTTTAATTATTTTCAGAGAACTAATGGGTTTGTGAGATTATTCTTGGTCTCATCCAGACTTTTTTCCATCCCTGAGTCCAGTATTCACCAAAAAATATATAGTTATGAACTTTGCATCAACCAAGTTTTAATAAATCATGAGCAGGATGGGATCAGTAAATATATGTATATACTTAAAACCATGGTTGACCAAAGGAGGCTTAAAAGATGGCAACACAAACCACGAGGAGTAGCAAAGCAAATAGCTGCAGCTAATCTGTTCAGTTAGTGAGTGTTCAATATGTTTTAGTTGCATTTCAATCACAGTTCGATGTTGTTTACATTATTTGCGTCTAGAATTTTCAGCTGTTCTTTCTGTACCGTATCTTGTGTGCCTCAGCTGTCAGATCGCTGTGATTGTCTAACCGTCGGATGGGAGGAGGGCCAGTTGCTAGGTGACAAGATTGGCAAGTCAAACTCAACTGTGGTTTTCCCTCAAAAGACGTCAACCTCAGGAATTTGCAGAATTCAGATCATTTTTTTCAATAAAAGATACATTTAGTTAAATCTGAATGCTGAATTATTTTTTGGCCAGAGGTGACAAAAATGGAAAAAACCTTTCTGTTCGACCACTTGTGGTTTTATTGTGTGGTTCTTGCAAGGAGTGAAAACAGTGAGAAACAGCTGCATGTTGAATCTACTGTGTGTCAGAGCGTCTTACAAAATCTGTGTAGTCATGTTTTATGAATAATAACAGTCTTTACCAAGCTCACAGAAGAGTATATGTACATCCTGTGATTGTCCAGGTCATTGTTGGCATTTAAAACATGTCGACATGTGAAATGTCTTGGAAGTGGCCCATAGAGGGAGCAACAGCCACTTGAGGCCTCTGCTTATGTGGAACTAGATTATCTGAACATACGCTGGTTGTTCTAATCTAGATCTTTGTGCTTCTTCCCTAAAAACCCACCAAGAACCATGTTTGAGCTACTCTTCCAGACTTCAATATGTCAAAACATGTTCCATGAGCTCCACATTACTATGCATCATGCTTGTAAGATGTACCCTCTTCTGACAAACCATTAGCGTCCATCATAACAAAGCCGCTCATGCATAACACTGACACTTGAGACATTTACCAGATGCCCTCTACCCTTCTCAACAGGCACAATTCATTCCGGCGCCACCTGCCTCGTCAGATGAATGTCACCAGCGTTGACTTCAGCATGGACGCAGTGCCTCTCCGCCAGTCTTCGACAGTCAGCATTGGAAGAATAAAACCTGAACTCTACAAGCAGAAGTCTGTGGACTCAGAGGGCGAGGCCAATGAGCCCGTGGAGACGTGTGGAAAGCTGAGCTTCTCGCTGCGCTACGACTACGAGGAGCAGGCTTTGGTGGTGAGAATCCTCAAGGCCCTAGACCTGCCTGCCAAGGACTTCACGGGCACCTCTGACCCGTACGTGAAGATCTACCTGCTGCCAGAGAGGAAGAAGAAGTTCCAGACGCGTGTCCACCGCAAGAATCTGAACCCCATGTTCGACGAGACCTTCTGTTTCCCCGTAGTGTACGATGAGCTTTGCAACCGCAAGCTGCACTTCAGCGTGTACGACTTTGACCGCTTCACCAGCCACGACATGATAGGCGAGGTGGTGGTGGACAACCTCTTTGAACTCTCTGATCTTTCTCGGGAGGCGGTGGTGTGGAAGGATATTCATGCAGCAACTACAGTGAGTCGGCGTTCACACCAACACACTGCCAGATCCACACATATGAGGACACTGTTGTCATGTAAGAAATGTTGAGTGCACCGAACTTCCTGCAAATCCCCGGTGAAGGGGAACTTCTACTGATTTTGAAAGGCTCTTGACATGAAGTATTTCTCTGAATCCCTCCTAAGAGCTTGAACAGCAGTCTGCAGAAGTGGCAGGTGGAGCACACTGCATAATTCAACTGCTTTGGGAAATGCATTTCATCAGCCGAACACCCACACGCAGTTTCCAAAAACAGCTGGGAATTCTCAACATAAAAATAGCAAATGAGAATACGATTACTAAATCATGACATAACTCTAAAGTAGTTAAACAAACAAGGCTTTACAGTGTTAGCATGTAAACACTAGTGTCATATGTAACACTCTCGCCCACACTAACACAGTTCACTCCTACATAAACGCTCTGCTTTATTTATGATTTATTTCAGGGTGATAAACAGTGAGTCTTTGTTTTCAGGTTCACATTAACTCCTTCAGGATAAATTAACAACAGAACTGATTATTCAGTTCTGAATAAAAACTGACCAGATATGAATTTGTATTTCTTTAATGGAGTTCGATGGGATTCATCTGTTGGTTTTCAATGCATTGCCAAAATCTGTTTGTTATTTTGTTCATTGTTTTTGGCTGAATCAATGGAGTTTACCTGTTTATCTCATTCAGTTTGCACACAGACTCACAAGAGTTTAAGTTATCGACACGTAGTTTGTGCAACATTGTTCATTTATCTTGGATATCTAGTTATCAAGTCATTAATGAAGAAGAAATATGATCTTTTCTTGAAAGAGTTTCTCACATTACAAAGGACCTTTATTAAAATGTCCAGTATTTAAATGAAGACAATGCTGAAGGCTCCCTCTCAACAACATGCTGGTATACAAGTATACCAGGTGTGTGTTAATCTATATTTTACTTAAGTGTATCTAATATTACCATGGATATGAAAAGTTTTCTTTTTGGTTGCTTTGGTCTAATTTCCATCCATCTCAAAGAGGAAAAGTTCAGTGTCATGATGTACAGGTGATAGTTGAATTGAAACAAACACTTTCCCTCGCCCACAGATTCTGCATATTCACATCTGTTCGTAGATATTGTGGTATCTGTATCGAGAACTGGCCTGTTACCTCTGAGTTCTTTATTGTTTTAGTAGACATGCCGCATTAACACAAAGCCAAAAACAAGCTGAGAGACTAATGACTGATATAAATAAAAACCAGTCTGCCATGTCCAGTACCAGCAGATAGAACACAACCTCCTTCATTTACTAAACATTGCTTTGGCAGTTTGATTCACATAATGCGGTCAAATAATTTAAAATGTACAAAATGCATTGAATTGTCTTTGATTTTTTGTTCTTAAGGAGAGCGTTGACCTCGGAGAGATCATGTACTCGCTGTGCTACCTCCCCACAGCAGGAAGAATGACCCTAACAGTCATCAAATGCAGAAACCTCAAAGCCATGGACATCACAGGCTCTTCAGGTAACCCGACAGCGAATAAAATGTGTCTCGCTTCAAACGCTCAAACTCAGCCATAACTCAGACTTAGCTGAAAACAGATAGTGGGTGGCCACTTAGAATGGAAATGGGGGAGAAGAAACACAGGGAGGCCACTGGGAATAAATTCTGGTGAGTGTGAGAGTGGTGCGATAAGTGCACTAGCTTCACTTCAAACCACATGAAAGAAAACCATTTGTATTTTGAGTTTTTACCGACAGTTGTGTTTGACATTCAACTGCTTACCCCTGAGTTCTTATTGAATCATCCTATTTAACTGCAATATCAACACACGTTCAAATAAACAACCTATGTCTCTCAGATCCATATGTCAAGGTGTATCTGATATGTGACGGACGGAGGTTGAAGAAGCGAAAAACAACGACCAAGAAAAGCACACTCAATCCAGTATACAACGAGGCGATCATCTTCGACATCCCCCCTGAGAACGTTGAACAAGTCAGTCTGTCCATCATGGTGATGGATTACGATCGGTGAGTCAGAGCTGGAAACATACAAACTATTTCCTGTGTGTTATCATTTGTTTTAGGATTTTAGGACACGATCACGAAACAAGTGGGTTTTGATATATTATATATATATAAAAAAAGGTTTCTTTCATAAAAGAGTGAAATTGAGGCCAGTATGTTTTTTTCTCCTGGTTCGACCTTGACAAGCTTCCAGCTACATTTCAAGACTTTTTCTTTTCATTTTTAAAAACCGGTGAATTATCCATTTATTTAAATCAGAACAGTCATTACTTTTCTGAATCTGTACGCAGACTGCAGGACACATAACTATGTGCATCTAAATCTGTGTTAATGTGTGTGTGTGTGTTTTGCTGCTAACAGGGTTGGACACAATGAGGTGATTGGTGTATGTCACGCCGGGCCAGATGCCGAGGGCCTTGGACGGGATCACTGGAACGAAATGTTGGCGTATCCACGGAAGCCCATCACACACTGGCATGCGCTGGGAGAGGTACAGTGATGTTGTCGTCCTCCATCCCCCACTCTGTCGCGCCCCCCCCCCCTCACACAGTTTTAAAGAACTCATATTTACAGAGCTTTCCAGAAGCTCATTTTCAGTGGTAAAACTTCTTCACGCTTCCGTTAAAAAAATGTGATCATTGATAAATAGTATGCAGCTGACGGTGTCATTTGAAAAAAGGAGTTTGCAACAGAGTTGGTTTAGTATTGTTATCACGATCACGGATCTTTTCTTGGACATGCTGTGTGCCGTGGTGAACAGTCAGAGGACAGAGATGGTGCTCTTCACAGAAGAAGATGGGTGCACACATCAGTTCGGGATCACATGTCTGAACTTGAGACTAAGTCTTACGTACTTCGAGCCTGCGTACACACGGGGCAGGATAAATGTATGATTCCTTCTAGAGCCCGACCAATATTACAGTATATGATATAAGTGATATGATCGGTATCTGCGTTTATCTCTGCAGATTATGCTGATATGCAAACTTTTATTTTACATATGTGGTTGTTGTTTGGTTTATTTCTAGTAACGTTAAATATTAAACCTCAATTACAGTTCACTGTCACTGTCATTAAGGTTTGATAAAGACATCTTAGGAATCATAGCAAATTTATTAAACGCATATATCGACCAAAATATCATAACTGTTTTACACAGCGTCAAATAAAAACTAATCTGTATTGGTCAGGCTCTAACTGACAAAGAAAATGCTTTGCTATATAGCCACTGTTTAAGATTGTGTTTCTTTCCAGAGGGAGTCTCATATTAAACCTGCATCTGGCTCCATATGCCGTAATCTGCTCATGCGATCTGACATCACTGGGCTGAAATGATCTGTGTGCCCATGATCACAGTGCGTCCTCAGCACAAGAGAATAATACCTGTTTAGTTCCCAAAGAGTATGTGTCACTCTTCTGTAAAACTTGAATGTGTTGTGTGACATTTTACCTTGCAGTGGCCTGGAAGAGCAGCAAGCTTTGAGAGTCAAGGCTCGTGTCCTTCACCCAAACCTCCACAGACACCCTGATGACCACAGGTAGAGTGATGGCATCACCTCTGTGAGAGAAAACAGACGCTTGTTAAGAGCTGCTGCAAAGCTGTGTTGCCTATTGTGATCATGTTGTGTGCGAAAACTGAATCCATTGCAACATGTTTCTTGTGTTTGCAAAAACAAGGTTGTGTTGAAATTGTGTTTATTCACTCATTCCAGCTCCAGCTCTTCAAGGGCTCCACAGAGCTGGCTATGCACAGCACTAACTGTCACTCAATTCAAGAGTTTGTTTTTCCTACATCTGCTCTGAAGTTTTTTTTTTTTTTTTTGCAGAACATTGACACGGACCACATGAATAGTACACTTCACTGCAAGATGTCCTCAGTGACTCACTTCCAGCTGATCAATCATTATTTCAGGCCCTGGAGTGACTTAGAGTTAAGAGTGGAATAGCGTTTTACTTTGAAAAGTTAAAGGGCTTCTCTGCTCGGTGCCATTAAAACATTTACTTGATTGAGAAGTAGTCATTAAATCCAGCGAGGCCTGATCTTATTTTCAGATAATTGAGCATCTATAACGTTTGGGGTACATTTCCCAGAAAATTGACCATTAACCATCCATTGTGACCTGCAGATATCAGAATCAGGACTCTTGGATTTAAAGAAACAGAAACATGTAGCAAACATATGTACAGAGAAATGAAGAGCACCTACATTCAAGTGTGTTTGAAATATAAAGTTGTTTCCAAAAACCCATCAAACTTGATTTTAGATTACAATTTCATATTTATTTTTGTATACACCAGACTTATGTCAGGATATAATTAGCATAAGTAGATAAGAAATTATTGAATCATCCTCTCATACTACAGGTATATTTGAATATACTGTAGGTATATTTACTACCTATGATTAAACATGTCCCTTGTGTTGCAACTAAAAAGTGAAACTAATGCACAATGATATGACAGTTGATGTTTCGAATCCACTTTCTACTTTTAAGTTAGATCGAAAAAGATAAAGAGGAACTTCTCAGTCCAAAAACACGCTGAGACAATTTGCTGAGACCCTCTCCTTAACAGTGTCCGCCCAAAGCTTGGGAGTAACCAGGCACAAAAAGCATTGGTCCCTTCTTTTTTACCACCCCGAGATTAAAAATGCAAGACCAAAAGTGAAAGGAATACTTGAAACTGTGAGTTTTCCTGCTCTACATTAATCTGAAACTGTTGTCATGTCTGGCTCACTACATGCAGCGGTCACAAAATCCAGCCTGAAGAATCTTGAACCACATAGATTTTATAAAGTACTTCTCGTTGCTGGTCCTAAATTGTGCCACGGTATATCCAAGTGTCCTGCTCTTAGACTTGAAGACATTTACACACAACTCATTATCCAAGATAGCTTTATATTCGTCAAACACACAGATTAGTCCTCATCCTGAGGACATTTTCTTTTGCACTGTTAAAAGTGAAACTGAGTTTTAAAATGTGAACAAAAAAAGCAGGTAACTCAGCAGGTACACTGGGTTTGTGTCACATAACCGTGGTGTTCTCTAACTTTTTTACCTGGGACATGATGCTTTAGCCTCAGTTTTTAGCATCATATTGTTTATGCAGCAATCAAGTGCACATTCAAGGTCTAATACAAAGTTGTGATTTTAAACTGCGAGCAAAAAAAGTGATAAGCCTGCTTTTGTTTGTTTGTAATTATAATTAAGAGAATAAAAATAAAAATGAGCTAGATTACATAAAATACAAAATATGAGAAAAAATGTTTACATCGATGTTACTGCACATTGCAATGAACCCAAATAAAGGGCCTCAACTTTGACTTAATAAAACAACTAAGTTATTAAAGACACAAAATATTCAAGCATACTGTGTGTTTGTTGCTTTTATATATTGACGACGTGGTTTTATTCGTGTAAAATCAATTATTGGAACAGAGAAGATGACCAAGAAGTTTTTTTTAAATTCCACCTTAATAATGAGTTCACTATGTAGTGACAGGGAGCAGGTAGATGTAGATGAGTGAGTGATTTCAGACACAAGATTATTCTTCAATCAGGATCCTGAGTCGGTTAATTAGACAAATGAATTACAACAACAAAGCGTGGCTGAGATGCGGCGATCAATTTAAAAAATGTGGCAGAAAAAAAAGCCAAACTTTATTGTATTTCTTCACCTGTTAGAAATTCAGGGAATTGCTATCCATGGAAAAATATATACACACATATATACGCTCAATCACTTGCAAAATTAATGTTGATTTTTTTACATTAAGCCATATGAAATTAAGTTCAGTGTATCTGACACAGAACACTGACTCAGCTTCTCCTTTGTGAGTAATAAAAACCCAACATAGCAAATAGGAAAAAAAAGGCTATGTACTGTTATCTAACTTGCACACGCAGTGATGCATTTTTCCCTTTGCTGCCCTTAATATTGAATATTTCTACGTGTAGCATGTTTATCATCACTTTGAAAACACTTACTGAAGGGACATGGATGTGTTGTTTGAAATTTCAAACTTGTGTGTTTACATTTGTATATATACAGCATACTTGTCAATGGCACTGTTTATATATATATATATATTTAAAAAGTGAAATTTAAGAAGTTGTCGTAAACTGATAAAAAATGAAGAGACATCACAACGTATTTCTATTGTTTGGTGTTAATTTGAAAAGCTCAGACTTGTAATCGAGTGACATTAATACACGTTGTGTAATAGTTGTGATCAATAAGTCTGACTGGAAACCCGGTGAAGCCGACTCTTACCTTATCAAGTTATTTCATGTTTAGAGCAGTTTAGAGCTTTGAGCTGTAATTGTTTGCATATTGATTGAATCTACAGTATATTGAGCGAGAACAACTGCAACCACTGTCATGACGTGTACAGTTTGTGATAACTTTTGTAAAGATTTAAAGTAAACATTTGGGATATGATTTATTGTATCTGTTTCATATGTATTTTAACAAAATAAATAAAAAAATGAAGAGTTATAACATATCCGTGTGTGGTGTGTCTTCAGAAATCAAAGTACATTCCCTTTAGTATGGTTCACGTCCCATCCATTAACCGGGAGGAGGAGGGGTTTATGACCTATACTGCTGTCAAGTCGTCAATCTTTATATACGGTCTATGGTCGTATCTTCTATACACACACACACACACAGTCGGTTTAATTATGGTTCTGTCACACATAATAGGTTTTATGCCTCGTTCTTCTTGTTTCCTGATGCAGCCGGTTGTAAGTGGGTTTTTTTCAACTCGCTGTCACGACAACAACAAAAATAACTTTACTCTTTCCCCCTAAGTGGAGAGCAACAAGTGTTGTCTGCATTTAAAGTGGCATAATCACTCTGAATAATGTAACTCTGACAACAGCGTGCCGAACAGCACGAGATTAAATGGTAGAGTAGAGAACAATTCTTGTTTCTGCTTTTCACAATTGCAAGACAAGTTGATTTGTGTAGCAAGTGCTTGAGATACGATATCAATCAAACAATGCAAGACAATGTGAAGAAGAAGCAGTTGAGAGAAGAAATCCAAAAGGGTTTAATTAAAAAAACCACAGCACTCGTAGAGCACATCTCTCTCTCTCTCTCTCAAGATTTTCATGTTTTGTCCCTAAATTCTTCAGTGCATCATAAACCAGCAGCAGACAGGAGGCCAGAGTAAAGATGTGAGCTTTGTTTACTCCCAACAAATACTGCAACACAGCTGAAATTAATGTTTTTCTACAAATACGTCAGTCTATGAGGGTGATTGGCAAAATACTGTGCCCTTCTACTGCTGCTAACACAGTAAATTACAACTGTGGGATAACCACTCAACTGAGCGACACAACAAGACCCCAGTTTTGTGCTTGAAAGACCTTTAAGAAAAAATAGAAAGCTTCTCTTCTCCGTCTCCTGCCAGTCCGTCTAATGGAGAAACATGAAAAGCACATTTTGATCTCTGGTGAAGCATGAACAGCACAACAACTTCCTTTTGATCCACGATACTGCACAGAAACACAAAAGGTTGCCGTGTTACATTAGTCTCCTTGGCAATAAAAGCTGCCCGCTCTCTGAAAGCTAAACCCGTATTTAGAGTGGAGTGCTATCTGTAGTTAGCCCCGACTAATAGCTCTGCGTGATGATACGTGTAATTAAAGCTTAGTCATTTCCTGAATGTTTATTTGTGCTGGATGTTTAACACCGCGGCTCTGTGGAGATTGGACTGACCTCATGGTGCACGTCAATGATGCACCTGCAACATTAGTCATTATTCTCATAACACTACAATTTAGATTTTGTTTCCTAAGGATGTTACCATTTTTGTGATACATATATTGGCAGATATATCAAAATCGGCATCAGGCTCGAATAAAATCTTACTTTAATTAATTTTAAATCAAAAATATTTCATTCTTTTCATATCAACTCCTATTATTGAATGTAAATCAAGAGCAAATCATGTTGTATCAAACCGGGGTTGTATTGCAAATGCTCGTATTCATCACATTTCCCAGGTAACGATACTTCACAGATGGAGATATGGTTGTGAATGAGCAGGTTTGCTTTATTATAGCTGCGTTTTCCAAGGCTCATTGAATGCAGAGGGTCAGAGGTCAGCTCATTAATGGCGAGGAAGCAGCGGGGGCTGCTTCTATTCCCAGAACAATTACAGTCTAAGGGGTAAGTGGAGGGACAGTTATGTAATGCCTCCACCCATTACAGCCTAACGGTAGCATTTATGTCCTTGAGCGTCTCTGTTATAAAAATTCATGGCTCCCTGGCATGTGGTCATGGTCGGTGCTGGGTTACATTAATCAGATATCAAAAATACGTTTTTCAGCCAGTTATGTATGATTGTACTGTAGTACCAGATAAGGTTCCACCACAGACATAGAAAACGTGAATTCAAAGCACAGACACGGGCTAGTTCGTACTTCTGTAAAGAGACGGAGTGCGCTCTCTTATAAGGTCACCTCCATGATGTGAATCTCTGTCACCCCAGAACATCTGTTCACAGTCACATGCCGACTTGGATTATCCTAATGATTTCTCAGCCTGGCAGAGGAACTCATCTACATCTCCACACTTGTCTGACATTAACGCTCCTCTCCAGTCTTGGAATGGAGGGTGATTATTGATGTAAAGGTGTGGTTGAGTTTGAATCACGACCTGTATCAGCTTCTTGAAAAAAGTCGGGTTGGACGCGCCTCTTATGCTGCTCCTGTTGACGTTTGTCTTCGCTGAGAGAAAAGGTCAAGTTTTCATGCACGTGATTCTGTGATCCACAAAGTGGCACACCCAGCGTGCATCTTGTTAAATTAATCTTGAGTGCAGCATGTTGGAGCTCAAATATTATTTAAAAAAAAGAAGAGAGCGTCTGAAGCTGTCAAGTGAACGGCAGGAACCAGCCATCACCATTACCGGCAGAGAGGAGATGAAAGGTTGTGAAGCTTGCTTTTTGAAGCATAAGACAGAGGCGACACGGAGGGAAAACATATTGATGTAGGTGCTATAAATAGATGTTTTACCCCACGGGTAAGAGCACAGGAATCCTCTCTCATTACTTTTGCCACATTGACTGATTTGCTTTGACAAAAGACGTC